TTAGAATGGACAAGAAGCTGAAGAAAACAAGGAGGTCTGATCTTTGTTTCCATGACTGTATATAAACTAACAACAATCAGCTTCCTAAATGTGACTATTTGTTTGTTTCTCTCCTCTATGACAGAAAACTGAACATCAATATCAATGATCTTTTCTCATTAAAGTATAGGATGACTGTAAACGTTCATCATATTCTCTGAATGTTAGGGCTAAATAGATGAGAAAAAATCAAACTCTTACAGACGCTTGTAAGAAAGAAAACCAAAAGACAACAGCTACAGAGAGACACAGAGTTTTGGTGTAAGAAAAAATAAATAAAAGTCCACAGTAAAGTCAGGATACAACTTTCTTTGCAACAGGTTTACAAGTTGTAGTTAATAGTATGTCATGCACTGATTAAAAAACAACGTTGAGAAAATCCTCCTCTGGTGGAACACTTTGGTCTTTTTTGCTCTTTAATTCATCTTTAATTCTCCAATAGACTGGTTGGTGATCACCGGATGGAAATTAGCCTTGTGCTAAATCCGGCATATTTACTACAAACTGAGATTGTATGTACATTAATACGCACTGTCCCGTCGAAATAAACAAATAATCAAATTATATTCTGACAAAGAAGTAAAATCCCCCCAAAACAAACAAACAAGCAAAAAAGATTAAACTAGAGAACCCCAAATGTTGTGTTAATATAGAAATATAGATTTTTTTAAAAGCAGATAATCACATTCACAGAATAAACTACACATCATTCTTTATGTCTGGGGCTTTTGTCCTGCTGCTCTGTGGTAAACAGCCTGCCAGCAGTGGGAGGTCTTAGGTCGGAGGGACTCGAGCAGCAATGATGAAGATGGTGATTCCCAAACAGAGAAAGATGAGTCCCAGAGCCAGACAGACCCACGGAGCGGCAGAACCCGCCGGCTTCCCAGACAGCTCTGTTGGACAGGAGACACTGGTTCAGAAACTGTTCAAACGATCTCAGCAACACTCAGCCAGAAACCTGCAGCTTCATGAACCTTTCAGGAACGTTGTTGTGCTTCACAAAGCAGAGCACTTCAGATGTTCACGCATGCAGACATTTTTTTTATAAGTAGAGATATTTATGACTATATAAGACTGGGATAATAATAAAAAACAATAATAATAAACTGCCCCCTCCCAGGGCTAATGTTAATTGACCACTCCGCTGCTGCACCCTATTTCTAGTAAGAGCCAATGGCCAGCAGTGTATCCTTATAATACCAGTATATAGTGGGAAACAGTTCAGGGGGGTAAAGCTCATTGTACAAGTACAAACATGGGCTGGGCTCCATGGTTCAGTGAAAGAAGAATTTTGGAGTCTTAGTGTGTACTTTATCTGCTCCATCTGATAAATGTCCCATGCTTTTTGAGTCCAGGTGTTGTATGTGGGGGGATCTGGTTTCAGCCATCTAATGGCTTTGCACTTCAATGCTGCTGTAAGTACTACATTTAAAAGGTCTTTCCTGGCCCACCCATCTAGGCCATTAGATATTACTCCCAATAGTGCCACTACAGGGTCTTCTGGAATATTCTGTTGGAAAACCTGACTGAGGGCATCAAAAACATCTCTCCAGAAAGTGCTTCATTTGGGACATAACTAGAATACATGGGTATGATGTGGGATGTGCGTCTCACAGTTTCTCCAGCATAACCTGGGATATTCTGGGTTCATCTTGACTATTATTTCTGGTGTTCTAAACTAAAGAACCTTGTGATTACTTTCCATTTGAATTCCCTCCATGTGTTTGAGTTTGTGGCTCGATGTGTCTCAGTGCAAACCTCCATCCAAGTATCCTGTGAGATGTTAATGTTCACCTTCACCTCCCATCTCTGTTTAATCTGTAGGGAATTATGTGGACTCGTTAACAGAAAGATGTCATACAATTTACCAATTATTTTCTTATTTCACCTTCCCATTTGTATTTCCAATAAACATGTTTCTATGGAAGTGGGTTTTGTAGTTTTTCTCCTATTCCTTGTGTGTTGTTAAGAAGATTCTTAGTTGTAATTATCTGAAAAAATCTTCCTGAGGAGGTCAAAGTCTTCTTTTACCTGTTCAAAGGATTTAAGATTATCACCCTCGAACAACTGGTGCAGATGGACGAGTCTATGATCCGACCACTTT